GAGGCCATGATCGACATTTGATTTCTCCAGCACCAGCTGGACCAATGTTGTTTTCTGTCGTACCGTGTGGCGACGGAAGGCGACGACCCGTTCCTGGTATGGGCGGCGGATGACGGCCAGAACTACGTCCTGGACGGGGTTCTGGGATTGCACGTGGACGACTTCATCGGTGGCGGCGAGAACCTGGAGTGCGAGGCGGACCTGACCGACAAGCAAGCCTACGAGGGCACGTTCCTGGATCGAGTCCAGAATCTCAGCAGGAGGTTCAAGTTTGGAAAAAGGGAGTTTCAAAGTGGTATTGTTTTCTGCGGTATGGAGACTACTCAGGCGCAGTCTAGGAACGAGATCGAGGTCAAGGCCGAGGCGTACATCCACAAGGTCAAGCCGATAAGCATCGAGAAGGTTGGCCGACAGCACCCGGACGACTTGTGTACACCAAAGGAGATCAGCCAGCTGCGAGGACTGAATGGAGCTATGCAGTGGCCGGCATCTCAGTGCATGGTGCAGGCGGCGGCGACGGTTTCGTTTGCCCAAGGCGACGTGAGCAAGGCTACAGTGGGGAGTTTGCTGGAAGCCAACAAGTCACTGCGGTTCCTGAAGACGAGCGGAGACGTGGGCATTCGTATCCGATATGTATCTAAGTGGGAGATGCTACGTCTGGGAGTATACTGGGACGCTTCGTGGGCAACGAGGCCGAATGGTGAATCACAAGGAGGTTATATGATATTTGCGATTGAGGACGAGAGGGTCGACGACGGACAGCCGACGTTTCTGGTTATTCTGGACTGGGCGAGCAAGAAGTTGGTGCGCATTTGCAGGAGTTCCCTGGCAGGAGAAGCTCAGGCGGCGGCCAACGCTGTGGACGCTCTGGAGTTCGCGAAGACGATGCTGACCACTATGCTCTACCCCAACCAGCAGCTGACGGGCAAGGACATGCTACAAGTGCTGGGGCGGAGTCCGTGCATCACGGACTGCAAGGCGCTCAATGATGCGGCGAATTCTCAAGCACCAGCCGGTGGCTTGACGGAGCGCAGGACGGGCATCGAGATCATGCAGGTGAACGAGAATATGAGGGAGTTCGGTGGCGTGTGGAGATGGACGAACACGTTTCAGCAGATGGCGGACGGTTTGACGAAGTTGCAGGTGCGACAGCAATTTGTGGAGAAGCTGCGAAGGATGACCCACGCGCTGAAGTACGACGCCACGTTCACAGCAGGCAAGAAGGTCAGTCAGAAGGAGCGTGAGAAGAATGAGCAGGAGTTGAATGATGCAGCAGCCGATTTTGACGAAGCAAATGCTGTTGAGCAGTCACCAGATGGAGAAGAAGAGCGCGAGACGGTTCGAGCTACCAGGGCGGGAACACGTACGGCGCAGAGGCTTGCGATCTTGGTGGCATCATCGACGACGACCAAGACAAAGGCGGAAGAGACGTGTCCGAGTGTGGGCGTCGATGAGACGCAGTGGATCCACGTGACGGTGTTTACGATGTTGTTATTGGTTATGCTATTACTATGCGGTTGTTGTTTGTGCACGACGTGTTATTTCAAAAGGGCGAATGAGAAATTTCTAAAGGAGAAGAATGATGAGATGAAAGCAAGTATGACTGAGAGGCCCGATGACAGGAAGGACGATGATGATGGAGAGTTGCAGATTAAGCTGTGCAGCCAAGAGAATGAGATCGAAAAGCTGAGGATGACGATTTTCGAGCATGAGGCAAGGACGAAGAAAGTGCGAGAGTTGTTACAGGAGTTGGAGTCTTTGTTCACGGATTTCGAGCAACGTGGCAGGAGTTTGCAAGAGTATAACAAAAAGGTGATGGACATCGACAAGGAGTTGCGTGAGAGAAACGACGAGCTCGGGATCCTTTATAAAAGGTTGACGACGTTGAACACTAGTAATTACCAGTTGGAGATGCAGCTGAATAATGCGAAGAACGAGATACGACAGTTGCAGCAACATGCTCGAGACGCTCCAGAACCAAAGAGGATGAGATCTGCGAACACCCAGTCGCAGTGTACGTATCGAAGGAACCTGGCCACGCCGAGATTCCAGGAGTGACGTTCGATTCACGAGCAGGTTGTGACGACCACGGACGTGTTCATGGTCACTGGATCATCGAGCTCGTCGAGTACGTGAAGGGCGTGGTGGAGGTCATCATATGCGGGACCTACGATGTGCGAGGAGACCAGGGCACATCTCTCAACTCTGAGTTGGAACGGTGCAGGTTTTCTGTTTTTTTGAGTTGATTTAGGTATGGCAGCGCGTGTATGTGTTTTAGATGAATCGGGGCTTGAAAGCCTCTTTTCTTTCCCCTGTGTCAATGGCACAGATCTGTTCCAATGTAGTTTGCTATGCATGATGTAATGATTGCTAGCGTGAACATGTGTGTGTGCTGCTTGCTGTGCTGCGCATGCTGTGCGTAGGTGTGTGCGCGCCTGCTGCCTGTTTTGACTCAAACTGTTTCGTAGGGGCCCCTGAGCTGATTCGAGTTACGGGTGGATCTTATCGATCACAATCAATCCTATTTCATATTATGTTCGGGACTTTGTGTGTCCGAGCATCGGTGGTTTCGTTTGTGTGCTACCGACAGTCTGGCAGGCCAGTGCGATCCATTGAGGGATGCTGCTGCATCTGATATTCGGTCCCTCCTCCTGCTCACCCTCGCCCCTCGTCCCTCGTCCTTATGCATAACTTCTCTACGCCGCAACACCAGATGTGATCATAAGGGCGGGCTGGGTGTTTGCCTGCGACTTTCTCACCCTTTACGGACTGGAAGACTGATGACCCCAACATGTTTACACAGATGGAGAGCGGGCCGTATTCAATCTGTAGCTCTCGCTGTGGCGCAGCGCACGATCGTCTTACGCGCTTCCGGAAATTGCGCGAATGGAGAAACGATGAACGGAGCTCACACATTGGCGCTGAGCTGTGTCGTTTGAAACAAAACTGTAAGCCAACGTGGACCCCAAATAGCAAGTGCTTACACAGTGGATGGGTACGCTGTGGCGCAAGCTGTGTGGTGTAAGCTAATTGGTGTACGGTGTGTGGCACAAGCTGCGTGGTGTAACATTTGTGGTGCAACGTGTTTGGTGTAAGCGGCGTGGTGCTATCCACGTGGTGCAAGCTGTGTGGTGCAAGACGTGCGGTGCGAACTATATGGTGTAAGCTATGCGATGACGGCAACGGGAGGTAACAGGCCGGGGACACCCCCACAGGCAACAGTGGGTGGCAACGGGCCAGAACGTGGCGAATCCCCAGGACACCCCCACAGACAACAACGGGCGGCAACAGGGCGGCAACAAGCCAGAACGTGGCGAATCCTCTGAACACCCATCCAACTCCTCAGAAAAACAAGGCGGAGCCCCGATGTCAAGCACTGTTTGGGGGACCTGCAGGGATGGAGGGCGGTTCCTGTTCAACATGGGGCTATCGCATGAGGCGCCCTCTCAAGTTATAAGCACAAGCAAGCACAAGCAGGCAAGAGTTCCACGGGTAGAAATGGGGCTCCCGTTCGGGACTTCGTCCGACTTAAGGACCACATGTCTGAGAAGTGCAACAGCTGCAAACATGGAGGGCAGATCCATCTCAAAACGGGTTAAACGATGGGCACGTCATTAAACGTTGCGACCCCACCCTGCCGCATTCCTTATACATCGGAAGACGAAGATCAAATCAAGTCCTTGAAGAGGCGGAGCTCCCGCTCGAATTGCGGCCCACGGGGAAGGGGGCGCTCGTGATTCAAGCGGGGCGCTTCGCAATAACAAGTAATGGCCGTAAGACCAACGAAACAGGAACTTGGGCCGGGAAAGTGTTGCAACACCTTGGATATATATATATATATATATATATATATATATATATACAAGACTGCATTGGCGCTTCGCGCCATGCACCTTGGTTCTTAAAGCTCGGCATGCAGGATAACCAAATATAGCGATGATTCATTGTTGCCGTTTGCGCCATCGTCGTTATAGTAATGTTATGTATTATCCTTCTACTTCCTCTCCTCTTACTCGTAATCTTCCTTGTCTGCGAGCCACTCCTTGTCCTCATCCCCAGTTTTATTGCAGGGGCTCCTCTTTGGAGGTGTTCTTGGGCCCCTCTCAAAAGCTTTTTGGGGACCTCTGGGGGCCTCCTGGGCGCCTTTTGGGGGCCTCTGGGGGCTTCTTGCGGTCACCTTGCTACCAACCACGGTCTCCCTGAACGACCGGGTCACGATTTGGAGTGCTTCGGGAGGCGTCTTGGGGCCATCTGGGGCTGTCAGCGGGGCTCTCTTGGGGCCATCTTGCGGCCCTTTTGGACCATGTTGGAGCTCTTTTGGACTGTCTGGAAGCACTTTGACACCGTTGTGGGAGGATTTTTGGGGCCTCTTCGGCGGACTCGGACGCACGGAATACCGAAGAACCGAACGTCCAAAAATTCAATAAAAAACTTAAGGAAAGTGTTGTTTTTTGCACTTGGAGGACCTCTTGGGGATCTTCTTTGGGTCGTCTTCGGGCGTCTTGGGGCTGTCTGGGGCCGCGTGGGGCTCTCGCGGGGCCGTTTGGCCGCCCTCCTGACCGCTTTGAGCCCGCTGGCAAGGCCCGGCAGGGGCGTCCAGGAGGCCCGGAAGGCCCGGGGGACCCATTGCAAGGCGTCCAGGGGGCCCCAAAAGCGCCAGATCCCGGGGGTCCGATTTTCCGGGGGGGGGGGGGTTCCCACCCCCCCGGATTGTAAAAATATAGAAAAGGGAATACATATATATATATATATATATATATACATATATATATATATATATATATATGTTGGGTTTACTCTGGCTCTCCTCCTCCTCCTCCTCCCACTCCTCCTCCTCCTCCGCCCCATCTCGAGGTCTTCACGAGCCTCGGGTGGCCAGACAGGAACCAAACACATAAGAGTGTCACACGCACCGTCGACCCTTCTCGTCGCCGTCATCCCCCCTCATCCGCAGGACCCTTCTTGAACTCCAGAACAAGCACCCGCTCCCCCGCCCCCTCCAGGTGATGTCTGTCAGGCTCTCTGGGCTGAACGAAGCCATGTGGTGGGCGGACTGATCCAGGATCTCGTTCACGAGCTGGTCGTTCCTGCCCCCAGGTGGAGAGGACAAGAAGGTACGCTGACTCTGCAAACTGCAGGTGTCCCCTTCACGCTCGCTCGACGCCAACCCCAGTGCTTATCCGAGGCAAGTTCGATCTGCCATCGTGAATGCACAGAGTGGGCGTGTCAGAATGTCCGTTTGCTGCCTGTTTTATTTTTTTCTGTGTGCTAGGGCTGCCCACCCCTCCCCCTCGACCCGCGCGTGGTCCGAAAACGGCCACCCCTCAAATTGCCCTCCGGCGCCCTCTTCGGCCTCCAGACGGACAATACTGTTTCCAAGACGGCTTCCGAGGCAGCCAAAATGACAGCAAAACTGTCCAATATGGCCCAGACAGCCCAAGAGGCTCTCAAGACGGCCCAACAGCCTCCCAAGACGCCCAAGAGAGCGCTGAGAGGCCCTCCAGGATGCCTGAGGGAGCGAAAAACACTACTTCCCAACAGGTTGTTGCATGATTTTGAGGTTCCGACCTCTCTGGATTTCCGACTGCCCAAGACGGCCAAGAGGCCTCCAACATAGCTCCAAGACATCCCATGAGGCCCCGAAAGAGGGCCCAAAGTCGGCCCAAGAGGACCCCAAGATCGCCCAATAACCTCGCAAGAGGGCCCCAAGAAAGCCCCAAAGCGCTCCAAGAAGGCACCAACACAGCCCAGAGAGGCCACCGAGACGGCCGGCCTCCGAAGGCATCAGGCGGGCCAAGAGACCACGCGCCCCCAAGAATCCTAAGAAGACCCAAAAGGCCCCAGTAGGCCCCCGAGGATGCGAAACACATTGATTGTTCATTCGGCGTTTGGAGGAGATCAGCTTGGGTTTCCGACCGCAGAAGACGGCCTCCAAGAGGCCTCCAAGACAGCCCATGAGCCCATGACGCCCAAGAGCCTCCCAAAAGGGCCATACAACGCCCCAAGAAGCCCCAAGACGGCCATACAGCGCCCCAAAGAGGGCATCATGACGGCCAAGAGAGGCCCCCAAGACGGCCCCCGAAGGCACCAGACGGGCCAAGGACTCCCTAGGACGGCCGACCCAAGAGGCCCCAAAGAGGCCCCAGGAGGCCTCCATGTGGCTCCCAAGAAGCCCCCAGAGAGCACCTAAGACACCTTCCCTCCTTGTCTGCATGTTGTCCCTCTCCACCTCGTCCTCCTCCTCCTCCTCCTCCTCCTCCTCATTGTCGTCAACATTGTCCTCCTCCTCCTCATCCTTCTCCGTGCCGCGCCGCAAAATTGCAGCGGGGCGTGAACTCGACTTCCCCCCACCGCGCGGACGAAGACGAGGTCGAATTCACGACCTGTCCCGATTCAGGCCAGTCGTCGACATTGCGCTGTTCCTACCCTCCAGATCCTTCCTGCTGCGATTCTGCACAAGCGCGATGAAGTATCATACTGTTCGATGGCAACAACAATTCATCAGTGCGCTTCCGCATGAGGGGAGGATGGACGGTTCCCCCGGGGGGCCCTAGGCGACCCGAGGAGGGGAAGGCGAGGAGGGGGAGGTGGAAGAGGAGGAGGAGGAGGAGGAGGAGGAGGAGAAGGTGGAGGAGGTTAAGGTGGAGGAGGGGGAAATGGAGGTGGAGGGGGCGAGGCGAGGAGGGGGAGGAAGAGAGGAGGAGGAGGAGAAGGAGGAGGAGGAGGAATTGTCGCAACATCACGGAATTTCAATACTGTCCACCTCCTCTACCTTCTCCTCCTCCTCATCCGCCCCCTTGTCCGTTCTCTTCTGCCTCACCCCCACCGTACGGATCCCCTGCCAAATCGAGTGGCGCTCGCATGCAACTCTGGTTATGTTCTTTCCTGCTGCTGCCACGGAGGCCCCGAACACCCAGGTCCCAGGACAACTCGCCAATGACAGCAGATGGCGCGATTCGGATATCGTTACCAGTGGAACAAATTTGGAGCGCTGTGTGTGTGTGTGTGTGCACTCGCCTGGCCTCACTGGTCAAGCTGCGTGCAGCCCCGGCCTGGCCCCGTCCAGAGGGAATGCTCTGCGAAAGCTCGCGCAACGTAGGCCAGCTCCCTCTCGCCGAGGTGCTTTATCTTGTGCACAAC